AAGGGATGTTGGCCTATAGTTCTCTTTTTTTCTTGGATCTTTACCTGGCTTGGGTATCTTTGTGATGTTAGCTTTGTAAAATGATTTGGGGAGAATTCCATCTTTCTCAATTGGCTGGAATACTTTTAATGGGATTGGTATCAGCTCCTCCTTGTACGTTTTGTAGAATTCTGCTAGAAAGCCATCCGGTCCAGGACTTTTTTTGTAGGTAGTTTTTGTATGACAGAGTCAATTTCCTGGGTTGTTATTGGTCTATTTAGTGTCTCAATGTCTTCTTGTTTCAACTTGGAGAGGTTGTGTGATGTCAGAAATTCCTCCATTTCATTTAGGTTATCAAGTTTGTTTCCATATAGGTGTACATAGTATTCTCTGATAGTCTTTTGTATTTCTTCGGGGTCAATTGTGATTTGGGCTTTTGTATTTCTGATTGCATTTCATGATTATTTTTTAAACTATCTTCACTATGTTTTGAGATTTTTTAATAGATTTATAACTTTTGTAATGTTTTAAGTATACAAAATATAATCTGGTAGATTTTTTAATAGCGTGTTAACTCAATTTCTTCCTTTACTTAAAGGATCTTACATCTGGCAAATCAGACATTTGTTTGCAAAGAGGAAACTTCCTACTTTCATTCTACAGATGGATACTAACAGCTTATAATAATAGCTAACATTTGTGAATGCTTCTTCTGAGTCAGGCAAATGCTAAGTGTTTTATATGAGTTATCTCATTTAATTCTCAGCATAACCCTGTGAGTAGGTAAATGTAATCTCCATTTCATAGATGTGAAAACTGAGAGGTTAAACAACTTGTCTGGAGTTACAGGTAGGAAGTGGCAGAGCAGGGATTCAAATCCAGGTATCTTGTCACCAGATCCCCACCTGGCTTTACCTGGCCTCACCTGGCAGCAGTAGATGCTGTGCTGTGACCTTAAGAACCATAGCTCGGGCAACCTCAAGACCAAATATTACTTCTCCAAATATATGCTTTTCTTTTGGTTTTAAACTCTTGATAAACTTTTTTTTGGTGTTAGTTTTTTAGGAGGAGTCAGATGAATTTACATTTATATGGATAAGGAAATTGATAATTAAAAATTTTTCTTTACACAGTCAAAGTTTTTTGTGTAATTGAAGATATTATGTTTATGAAAATGTCCACATAAACTTAAAACAATTAAAAATAATTTTCATTTTATTGATGTTTAGTGTGCCATATTTTTATTCTATCTCTCCATCTCTTTCACACACACACACACACACACACACACACACACACACACACACAGTCATTATGTATTAGGATAACCAATCTCTTTTATTTAGAAAGATTAAAAATATTAATTGAACTTTTGTTTATTTATTGTGTTACTTTATATATTATTACTGTGGAGGATTATTTTTTAAGGGCATATTGTATGGTAAGATTTACAAATTTAGTTTAAAAATCTAAATAGATTAAAGATAACTTAAGTTTTCAGCCTAAAATACACTTTGATTTGTGCCCACCCAGGGACAACAAAACAAACAAACAAACACTTTACTGTCAGGTACAGTTTAGTTACTCTCTTCCTGAGTGTGTACTTATTAAATGCTGTAGGTTATAGATAGTTAAATTTTCTGAGTATGAAATTTCTTTTGGTGAAATGGGAATAATATGAATTATTTATTTATTTAGAGTTGGAATCTCACTCTGTCGCCCAGGCTGGAGTGTAGTGGCCAGCTCACGCCCACTGCTGCCTCCACCTGCTGGGCTTAGGCGATCCACCTCAGCTTTCCAAGTAGCTGGAACTACAGGCATGCTGGAACTAGGCATGCGCTACACCAGCTTAAGAATGATTAAATTTAAAGATTGTGTGTATCGCTTAGATAATGAAAAAAATTACTTAGTCTCGCTTTTCTTTTTACTTCACCTGTAAGAGAGACAGGAAATTTACCTAAATCTGATGGAGTCTGATTTCTACTGAATGTTACTTGTTTTTATGTTAATTAATATGTATATCTATTACATTAAAAAAAAACCTGTGGTCTTCATAGAATGTAAATAAATGATAATAATAATAGCTATAATTCTACCACTCTTAGTATGTTTATCCCATATTTATTCATATGATATATTCTTGTAGAGTTTCAGAATGGGGATTATACTCCATGTATTGTTTTGTAAATTGATTTTTAATTGGCATATTAAATATTCTTTACATGTAGTAAATCTACTTTATGACATGAGTTTAAGTTTTATGTATTTTTTTTGCTTTATTGCTATAACATAATTTAACCAGTTTCTTATTACTGAGCATGCCGAATGTTCATAATTGTTGCTATTTATTACATAGAGTGCTGTGAAACAATCCTTTGTGTATTTGTCTTGTTGTCTGAGTATTAATTTCTAGATGTGCACATCCTGGGTCTGAGAATGTACAAATTTAGGACTTCTGATATGTATCACAAATTGCCTTCTAGAATGATGGTATCGTTTTGATTTGTCTTCTTTGGTGTAGACCATGCCAGATAGAGCATGCCACTTCCTCAGACTAAAGGCTGTTGTTAATAATCTTTGTTTAATTTTTGTCTGTCTTTTTAATAAATGCAGTATAAATGGAACCTGACCTTTCAGCATAATTATTTGGATTTTGGAAGGTATATAAGCCCAAACTTTAATATTTTGACATACAAAGAGGCCTAAAGTCTACTACTTATAAAGGCCTTTCTGTAGTCTTTTTGGAGAAATGGGCCATCTTGGATAGTTGGATTTTCTAAATAGCTCTGTATATTCCATTATTTTTCTAATTTATTAAATTATGTTCTAAATATAACCCTGTCTTGTCTATATGATGCAGGGGTTTTTCTTTGAGGATTAATGATTGGAGTATTGTTAGAATGGTAACTTAAGGGTCAATCCACAGAATAGGGTTTAGCATATACTGTTTAGCCACCCTCAGGAATTTGATTGGATAATATCTCAGCCATTACAAATGATTAAGCAGGTGATACGGTTCCCATTTCAGATGAGCAGACTTGCGTTCAGAGAGGTTATATAATTTGCTTAAGATCACACAGCTGTTAGGCAGTGAACATGGTATTTGAATTTATTCTTGGCTGATTTCAACCCTTTCTCTTTCCATTTTGCCACTTGCTACACTGCCCTCTTGACTGGCCCATCCATTACTGTTGACTGTCATTCTTCACTGGTATTCTGTGTCTGCAGCACACAACCCTTCTTTTTTCTAAATCAATACTTCTAACCTAGATTGATGTAGGAATGTGATCACCAGATCGTATTAAGTACTGTTGGTTCTGAGGGGTTTTGCTGTGACAAGAGAGAATGGGGTCTGACATCTGCTTGGATGTTTCTGGGTCTTTTTCATGCTATTTTGGTTTTGGGGAAGAGTTTCCAGATGAATGAGATATTACAGTGTTTCTAGTAGTTGGGATCCATGCTCACCTTGAGTTTTATCTATTTGGGGTGGATTCAAAAGAGTTTGTGTTGCATGGTTTAGCTGGCATAATCCACAGTTCCTTCAGATTGCTCCCAGCAAAATATTGTACTCTGTTTGGCTATGTTTTACTGTGCTTTCAAACATTGTGTTTTACTTATGAGGCTGTGAGTTCCCTGAGGGAAGAGCTGCCTGCCTGTTATTTTTTAAAATCTCCACCTCCTATCCAAGTAGTGCCTATAACAGAGATACACAGCACATGTTTAACTAATGCAGCAACACAGTCTTCCGTAGATTCATGTCAACTATAGCAGAGGATCACCTTCATCTTCCTGAGTTTGATTGTGTCACCTTCTGGCCCTGTCTCCTCTCCATATTTATAGAACCAACTTCTGAGAAAGTAACTTTAATTCTAAAAGCACCCATTGTTTTGTCAGTTAATAGATATTATGTGTAGCTACAGCAACATTGGGCATTGTGGAGAGATGCAGAATTAAGACATGGGATTCTAGGTGGATGGTAAAGCGGCAGCAGCGAGTAGTAGGGTGAAGTGGTGGTGAATTTGCTTTCATTAAGCCCTGTAGCTCACTTGGGATGTAAGATTAGTGACTTTCCAATTCAGGATTCCAGAAACATATTTCTCCCTGAAGTGGCAGGTGGAACAAGGACTCCTGCTCCCAGGTGTTAGTCTGTCTCCAGGGCAACTGGAGTCACTGCTGCTGTCTCCCTGTCCTCCCCACAGGGGGAACCCAGTCCCAAGAGTTGTTCTTGGAACACTTTTTCCCACTATATTTTCCATTTTCTCTGGTACTATTTCCCTTGTGGAACCCCTGCTCCTATCCCAACCACTTCCTCCTCTAGAGAAAGAATCTAGATCTTTTTAGAGGTGTCACTGAGATTATTTGTGGTGGTAACCGCAGGTGGCCTCTTCATATGTGATAGCCTTAAGTTGGGAATTGTCTGTTTAAAATATTTATCTTCTTACCTGTCTCTCTTTTTTTTTTGTGCCAGTATTTAATAGTCTTTTCCTTAGGATGTTTTCAACAAATAGCTGTTTACATAAGTTAGATTTATTCCGTAAATCAGTTTAAGAAGCATCATACCTTCTGCCACTTAGTGTTGTAATGAAACTTGAGGAATTTAAAGATGAAATTAAAATTAATGACATGTACATTCAATATAGTTGATATTTTGAGTTTATATCTTAAACTGTTTATATTCACTTTTAGAAGATTGCCCATAGGGTTTTTTTTTTTTAAAGTTGGAAAGTTAGTTTAGCTTTTCATTTTTGTTTATCATCCAATATAATGGCTACATTACAAAAAACACACTCTGTGGTTGTTTTCTGTGTATATTTGTTCATACTAAAGTGGTTAACCTCTCTATAACATAGAATGATGTGTAATTTCCTTTAAGGAATAGTTTATAGAATATCACCGTTTATATATGAAAATCCTTCAAATATAACATTAGATGCATATTAATTAATCTAATATTGAACATGATTTGTGTGTTATCCCTGCTTAAGAGGAAATTAATACCCAAATCTGTCTTTCAGGCAGTAACGGAGAAGAATTTTGAAACAAAGGATTTTCGAGCCTCTTTAGAAAATGGCGTTCTGCTGTGTGAGTAAGTATTTAAAGCATTTGAAAAATAATTCAGAGCAAAGGTGTGTGTGCGTGCACACATGCATGTTTTATGTGGTGCCTTTACCTTTCTCCTCCCATGGCCATCATAGTCACAGATATGTGTTCTTGGTCACAGGTGAGATTTGATCCCTGCAAATTGACACCTCACAGTATGAGACAGTAGGAAGAAGGGGTTATCAGTCTCTGTATCTAAAGATAGCAGTGGTGAAATATATATTATTTTTCATTAGTAAACAAGAAAGATTCTGTTGCATGATGGGCCAGGAGGAGGTGGGTGATTGAGTAGGAAGCCTTAGGACATTTTACCATCTGTCACTTACTCTGAATATTTTAATGTGTGAACTTGTCCAGTTTAGAAGTTAGTTTAAAACTTATTTTCTTCATTGATAAATCATGATGTGTGGCAAATTTTTCTTTAAGTTTTAAGTGGAGTCATTACATTACCAAAATCAATTTGAGCTATGGACCATTCATTCAATCAGTAGATATCATTGAGATCCACATCCCAGGCTTTGCTTATCATAAGAAAAATAGGCTGGTACCATGATTGATGACATAAGGCCTACACTGTATGTTAAGTATAATATTTTGTTCCCCAGTGGATGCATAGCACAGTTAGCCATGTATGTGGCTTTTGGGGACAAGGGGTAGGCAGGCCTGTGGGACATAAGGATGAAATCCTGGGCGAGGGTATAGGTTGCAAAAGTGGGCAAATACATTCACTCACACACATTTTTGAAAGCATTTACTTAGTTTAATCTAGGTATTTATTGCATAGGTATTTATAGTATCTCTACATGTAAGCACTGAGAGTGTACGTACTAGTACTGAGAGGCTTTTGATTATTCTTTTGAAGGAGATTGTTTGCAGCAAAGATGGAGTCCTTTTTCCATTACTTTTGGATATTTGAACACGAGACTTAACATTTATTCTTAACATTTGAGATTTATTTTCTCATCTGTGAAGTGGAGATCAATGTATATGATCTGACTAATTGACAGAGTTGCTGAGTTCAGTAATACATGTATTTAAGTTTTTATAAACTATCAAACAAGTTGCTGCTAGGAACATGGTCATGTATCTCATCAGCACTGTTGATAGGTGTTCAAACTTCTTTGTCTTAGCGTGATATTACTAATTTGTTCCATATGAAGTTGGTATTCAACCATTTGTGACCTACAGAAGTATCCATTTCATGTGGCTTTACCTAATATATAGCAGGACAGACATATGAAGAAGGCCCATGAATAAAGTTTAAACAAAAATTGTTTTCTTTCAATGTCATATTCAGAATCATTGCCAAATAGTATTTAAACTAATTTAAGAAGGCCATATGGTAAGCCCAATTGGTCACTGTTGGGAAATTATTTTGATTTGAAAACTGTGTGATTTAAATGTGTTTTAATGTGTTCCAAAGATGGAAGGGAAACAATGTCTGTTATAGGCACATGACCTGAAAACTACCTTAGCTATGAGTGTGGCTATTAGAAGTTTGCAGCAAAATAACATTGTTAATTCTAAGCCCCACAAGTCTGGATAAGAACTAGGTGGGTTTGTATAGGAAGTGTGCCTGTGAAGCATGGAGTTCTTTGTAGATATAAAATAGCAGAGATCCCCAATACATGACCTTTTCAAAGAAATCACTTTGTGGGCTGTAAATTTCCAGTGATGAACTATTGCTCAGAATATTTTAGGGGTCCCACTTTTGGGGTCACTGCCTCCAAAAATAGGTCATTAAATACGTTTGATAGTGACCTCAAATATTTGCTTTAAAACACAATTTATGCACCAGCCTATGCTCTGAATGATTTGAAGTGATTTCTAGAAACTATACCCAACCTGAAAGAATGAGCATATTGTTACCAGCAAGGATATTCAGAGTTGATAAAAACTATTTTCACAACAAGCAGTACAAGTTAGAACAAGTATATAATTTTTCCCTTAATTGTGACAGTATACATTTGAATGGATGTTTAGAGATATATTGGCTTGTTTTAAAAATTCACTTTAATTTGCAAATTTTCAAAAGCTCATTCTTATATTGTTTTCTAATTAGAGTAACACCAGTTTGGAGTTTTGTGCATTACCATATAAGTCTAATCAATCTCTTACTACCCAGTATTCTTTAAATGAATGCTCCCCAAAAGTAGCTAAAGTATGTATTAAGCCATGATAATCAGTGGTTGTAGTTTATTGTGGAACACCAAAGTACTACATAATATTTGTATTTTAAAAAGCTCTCTAAATTGTGAATCACATTGTTTGTAGTGACAGGTTAATGAATACATATTAATCTAAAAGCTATGGTGTTTAAAAAAAAATTCCAGGTAACTATATTCTGTATAAATCTGTAACTGAAAAAAGCCTAGCTGGCTGATCTATGAAATGATTAAGCAGGCACCGTTTGTGACCACATCCACAGCTGAGTTATATATTAGCTGTTCAGAGACCTGCTATTATAAGTCCTGACTTTTAAATTAATAGTACACATAGTAAACTGTCTGTCTTTGAGAATATTTTATACATTAGGGATCTCTAGTTTTAGCTGAAATATGATCAGTATATTTAAAAGATCTGAACTGATCTTCTTACAGGAAAAAGGCTGACTCCTGTTTGGCTCACTGCCAGAACCATATTTCTTGTGAAATATGGGGTCTGCTTGATGCCTGTTCAAAATTTCTAGACATCTTATTCGTTATCACCTCTAAAGAGTTTGCTTAATATTTCATCTAGTAAATTCAGCAGTTTTATATACATCAGTGGTACTTTTTCCTTTTTGAACTAGCTTTCTGAAGTATCAAAGTCAGAAGTTGCCGGAGCTTATTATAGCTTTCACCAAACTGGCAGTGTGCTAACATTTCAGATAGTCCAACTTAAGGTATAAACTCTGTGCTGAGCTTTCAGACAAGATACACATTTGAGTAATGAGAATAATTATGTGCATTCATTGTCTTTAAATCTCATCGACTGTTGAAGTTAGTATCTTCATCTTCATGTTAATCATTTTAGTGTCATATAGTTTGACTATGGGATCTATGAGTTGAGAGTTAACAAATACTCCCCTGGGAAAAGTCTATTGTAGTAGTTCTTTTATTATTCACTTTAGGCATATAATCTCTGAAATTGTAAGGGGATTTCAGCTCCCTGTTACAATTTTCTATGAATTTTATTAGTGGTATTTAGTAATCTCTCCTTTCTTAGTATTCTTGAGAACTGCCTTACTGTATATATTTTAAAAATATGAAAGATAGGCCACTGTATCATTGTCCACAATCTCATTTTCCTGTGTGTTGTAGCAGAATAATTTCTCTTCTCTAAACATATTTGGTTGAGGCATATACAGTTAATGATATTGGTTAGGTATTTCCCAATTACTCATCTTATGATAGCAATCTTGGAAATATTTAAATGAAAACACCCTTATTTCTCTTATGAAGTAAGAAGATTTGTTCGCAGATAGTCTGGGTGTGGCACTGGTTAGTCAGTCTACTTCCCATTCCTGGAATGATCTCAAGTCTTTGCTCTGTCCCAGTTGGCCATGCTATCAGAAGTTTGTTTTTTTGAACATGTGGCTCACACTATCACCAGGTCTTTTTTCCTTTGCTTGAAGCTTGGAAAGAGTAGAGCAAGGTGTTCAACTATTGGTTTGAGAGATCCTGTTTCTATGTATTATGGGGCCATGTGACCACTACACTGTTTGCCTAAAAGTGCCATAATATTTTGTTAAAGATACATTCACTAGAAGAAGAAAAAAATTATTTTTACAATCACTGCTGTTTATTATGGGACACTTGTGTGAGCATTTCAAAGCATTAAATAAGATAGTGAACTTCATCACTTGCCATTCATGCCAAGAGAGCTCTATCTTTTTGTTAGAGCTGGAGATTTCCCCACATGAATTTCTGTTGACATCAGTAGGCCCCTGGGGCTTGTATGCAGTGCTCTGTGTGAAACCTGGAGGTTTTCCTGCAGTGGGAGGGCTTTTTTCTTAGAACCAGTTCAGGTTTTGAATTTCTTGAGGAGGACAGTTATATACATACAGCATGACAATGTGCCAACACTATTTATTGATCCCATCTGTTATTAAAGCCTTTTGGAATTTAAGTAGTGAAAACTATTTTTCTTTACTTCAAGTAATATAAGCTTTGAAGTTTCCATGTTATTTGATAACCCAGAGATAGGCAAACAATGATGCAAGGGTTCAAGTTCATAAAGATAAATTTAAAAAATTTTTAAACTTTTTTCTCTCTTTCTCTTTATGGCAGTATTTTATGGTTGGCATCTCTATACTCTCTTTTTAAGCTTCATGGTGTATTTTACCTGTAATGTAATGTCTACTTCTAGAAAAAACATCATTTTTTTAAAAGAAAAAGAATATATCAAGTTAAATATCAGTTTGGCAAACATCAACTTAAAAATTTACTTCGGTTATGGTAGTCAAACTCTACAGACTTATTTCAGAAGTTTTTTATATTGTGGCCTCAAACTTCAGGGTTAAAATTACAGAGAGAGAGTGCATATCTCTCTCATTTTCATGAAGAATATAGTAACATTACTTAAATAATCAAATAGCAAAATCATTATAGGAGACCAGAGTCTTCCTGTTAGATGCCTTTTTGCTTTTTGTTGTTGTTTGTTTTTATTTTGAAGACTACTTTTTAAAAGCAATTTTGGGTTCACAAAGAAGTTGAAAGTACAGATATATCCCATATATCCTTGCTGCCACACATGTCTAGCCTCTCACATTACCAGCATCCCCACCAGAGTGATGCTTTTGTTACTATTGATGAGCCTACATTTACATATCATCATCATCCATAGCCTGTGGTTTACAGTTGGGTTCATTCTCAGTATTGTACATTCTACAGGTTTGAATAAATGCATACTGACATGTATTCATCATTGCAGTATCATGAATATTAGTTTCATACCCTAAAGATCCTGTGTGTTCTGTCTGTTCATCCTTTCCTCACCTCTAAA